ACTGCCTCTGCCGTCGCAAGTAGCAGCTGATGCAGGGACTTGGAATATTTCGCCGGTATTTTGTACATGACTCAAAACGCATGACTTACGTCTACCCGATGACCGCTGTCAACCAAGTGAGCCAGACATTATGGTGTTCTCGCATGCGCTTGGATAGCCGCCTCGTTGTTCGACCAATATAATCTGCTCCACTGGACCATGTAAAGGCGTAGATACACATTGAAGACGTCTGGAACGGGAGCCTACCCTTGCCTTCAAGGCGAAGAAGTGGAGTGCTTGAAAATACTAAGCTCAACTTACCTCGGTTCGTGAGGCAGCGGACTGGGTCTCGTGTCGGACCTAGTGGGACAAAACTATAGAAATTTGTGCATTGCCCTGTCCAGGTTTTCTTGCGAAACTTACTTCTACTTATTGTTCCATCAGACCTTCTACTAAGAAGGACGTTTAGAAAGGGCAGGCACTGTCTGTCCTCTTTTTCTAACGTGAAGGTTACCGATGGGTGCACCTGATTCACTTTATCTAAGAAAGTTTCCAACTCAAGACTTCCATCTGCTATAACAAATATACCATCCACATATAGGAATGAAGGTCCGTTATAATAGGGGAAAGTTTGTTGCTCCCCAGTTTGACCATGAAGGCATTTGCTGATAGAAGTCTATGCGGTGATCCCATCACTACGCCATCGATTTGATGGTAGAATTGGCCATTAAAGCTAAATTGCACCTTTAAGGTGCAGCGGAAGAGTAATTCCTTTAGATCACCGATCGGCGAGTTCAGGTTATATTGAAAAGTGCTGTACGCCCATTCCCTTGTCAGACTCTTATATGCAAAGGACTACAAGCGTAGTTATTAATCAACAAATTGCTCTTTAAAACGGTTTTTTGAGTCCACGTATTTTGCACCACGCGAAGGATAGCATAAGACTTGCAAAATGTCCATTTAACTGAAGACAACAACTATGTTAAATCATAATCGTAAAGAAAACACTAACATCTTAAAAACTCACTCCACTGAATTGGTTTCTGCCAAATTAGGCTCGAATTTGAGGCTCGGCGATACTGCATCAAAGGCCATATTCCCTTTGTTATTTTCTTCCGCGGACCTAAAATATTAAAAGAATTGTAATCCAGGCAGCGAAAAGCATAGCATAAGACTTGCGAAACGTCAATTTAGCTGAAGGCGACCACAGTATGTTCAGAACGTAAACGAAGCGTGCAAAGTCAGTCTTTAAGTCTTCCAGGATGATTTCATTTTTTACACCAGCTGCCGATTAGTTGGGAAGGTTCACTGATTATTAGAGAGCCTGTTCTTGTTGATGTCACTGCTGAGTTCTTCATAGACTTGACCCTTACCACATGAAGCATAGCATGAGGCTTACATAATTTCAATTGAACTGAAAGATACTACAATTTCAAATCACCATTGTAAAGCAATGCAATATATCTTATTTAAAACTCACCTTATTGAGTTGGTTTCCGCCAAATCAAATGAATACCACTCCCTGATATTAAGGCGAGTCGCACATACAATGTGCTCTGTTTGGAGGAATTGGCTACGATCTCCTGTCACCAGGATTGAAATGTAGGCACACCTACCGGGCTCGTCTGTTAAGGATTTCGTAGACAAATCCACAGCCAGTATCTCTCCGAAGCTTGCAAAGTAGGCCCTCAGGATGTCGGCAGTGATGACTTTTTTCACGCCCTCCACGAATAAGCTAAGAAACTCTCGTGAGCTACCAACAGCCGGCGGAGTTTGTTCATCGTTTTGGCGTTGCAGTTGTTGTTGTGGTTGCTCCAGCTGCTTCTTTCGATGACTCTGAAGGAGTTTACCTAAGCGGGTGAGCTTCCGGTCCGAAAGTATTGGGTTCGCGTTCAACCTCTGAGTGTCATTGTCTTTCAGGAAACTAAATAAAGAACTAATGAGAAGCAAACAGTAGCCGAGAACAATATGCAAATGACTACTAGCGTGCTTAATGTAAGTAATCAGAAGCCGAGAGTTCATAAAAATACTTTTTTGAGTGTAACATCTATGCAGTGAGTCAACTATAATGGAGCAGGAAGCTTAAACTCCCGATGTTCCAACACCAGCCAATAAAAACAAGAGAAGGGGAATAACTGGAAAATAACTTACCGTCCTATCGGTAGACTAGATTGTTGAATGCTCATCGGAACTGAATAAAACATCAGAATAAGACGCTCGAAAAAAAACGAATGTGTCATCTAGGAAAACGAGGAGATCAATCACCAAGTAAACACGGTAACTATAAACCCCAGATAACCCTTCATCTTAGAATATAATTAGGGGCCT